GCCCCTCCAATAATTGAGATCTCATATGATATATCAAGTTCTAGGGCATAATAGTTTAAAAATGTTGGATGTAATTGTGGCAATTTTATGTTTTTGCTTATGTTTAATCATGTGGATGACTTAATGAAGTATTTTCTTTGTTTTTAAAACCAAGTGTTAAAGTTTGGAAGTTGGATCTATATCAATATCAGATTTAACATTAATTTTTGTTTATCTATATGATCCTTTAAGTTTGCAGTAGGACACTGAAAGCATATAATATATTATTTTAAATTCCTAAGTCCTGCCAATTGAAATGACAGATTAAAGTAAAAAAAAAAAAAAAATACTCTATAAACAAAGAAATGAAGAATATTAAAGAAACCATGGGTGATCAACTTGCTGATTTGAAATTGACATTAACTTTTGAATTCACAGCATAGACTTGACCACGGACTATGCATTAACTTTAAGTCTACGCACTGAAATCATATGATATATTATTTTAAATTCCAAGCCCGGGCAATTAACTTCAAGTCAACACACTGAAATCTTATAATATATTATTTTAAATTCCAAGACCTGGCAATTGATTTAAAATGACAATTAGGTGCCTTTGGTTAAGGGAATATTGAATTACTAAGGATATTATATTAATGGAAAGTTAGATAACTTTGAAGATTACTGAAAATCTTTATGGAAATATGTTTGGCTAGTTGGAATAAATTGGTGGATATGTTATATTAATATGTTTGGTTGAAAAGAATAAATTGGTAGGTATGTTATTTGAATTACTAAATTACTTTAATTTGCAAATATTAATATAATATTATTTTTATTATTAATTTTGAATAATTTCTTTTAGCCCCCAACATTTCAGATTTAGCTAAAATACCCTAGCTTATATAAAACTTTAATTTATAACAAAATCACTCCCACCCACCCTAAGCCACTGCCAGTTGCTAGCCACCATTGCCAGCCACCGCCTGGAGCTATTTGACCGTTTTCGACCATCAATATGGTCGAAAACAGCCATATCATCAACTCCCAGCGACTTTCAGCGACAGTCGACGGTGGTTGGCCAACTGTCGGCGACGGTGGCAGGGTAGCAGTGGTGGTTTGCAATTTGTTTTATATGTAAGGGCATTATTATCCAAAAACTTAATTAAACAAGGGTAAAATTGTAATGGTAGATTAATGTAAATTGATTTTAAAACAAGGGCACTATTGTCCTAAAATTTTATTAATAAGGGGTAAAATTGTAACAAAAACAAGATTACCAAGTAATCTTACCAACAGTAACTACTATTGATATTGAAAGATTACCAAAAACTTATAGTACTTAACAATCAAAGGTGGTAATAAAGTAATATAAGATGACATAACCTCAATCCTATATAACCCCCAACCAAACGCCTTCTTAGATTAAAGAAAAATTTGACTCTTTAAACAAAGAATATTAAAGACACCATGGGTGATCACCACGGACTATGCATTTCCGAAGAGCAAGTCCTTTTCTGGTAATGGAATATAGATTTTGTTTGAAATTGAATTTTTATCAAAAACGTCTTGATTATAATTAAATTTATAATTGTTGACATGAGTCAAGTGTATAATAATTCTTATCATATGATTAAATTAAAATATTAGATTTGTCTCGGTAACAAATCCAATGTTTCGAAAATATCACATTGAAATTTGATTTTCAAACTTAATGATGAGAGAGAGAATTAAATGAAATTTGAATTAATTAAATGAAATTTAAAATTCAAATTTCATTTAATTATCTCTTTCACCATTAAATCATTTTTTCACTTTTTTACTCAAGAAGGACAAATATGCATTTTTATACATGGATCACCTAATGAAAAGTCAAATAAATCCATATTTTATCTAGATCAATTGATCCAACAAATATTTTTGTTTGTTAAAACGACAGATATTTTGAAACGGAGGCAGTAAAATTCATAAATCAAATTAAATCAAATCAGCCTAAATCTTCAGTTTGTGTATCCAGGAAATTAATAATTCATGAAAGTAAAATCAAGTGCACTTTCCATGGAATTGAGCAAAAAATCCGACCATGCTCATTGTGGTGGGGCAATTAATGACTTCCACTTTTCTAAGTACATTGTTTTTTCTTTATTAGTAACAATGTTCTGAAAACCGAACCTGGCCTTGACCCGATCAAGGGCCTGATTCACGGTTTGATTAGTCTGACTAGTTAAACCGACTGGTTGGACTAACGACGTCAGCTTTCCAAAAAAATTTAAAATTTTGCAAATTGGTCCTTTAAATTTTAGTATATTAAAAACAACCCTAAAAATTATAATTAATCCCCTAAAATTTAATATATTTCGAAAAATGCCCAAAAACTTTATTAGTCCCTAAAGTTTTGAAATATTAAAAAATATCCCTAGAAAACTACAAACTAACCCCTATATGTTTAAAATATAGCAAATACCCCCTAGAACCTCAATCGAACCGGAGAGGCTATCGATTCCTGGTCCAACGAGTCCAATCTGGTTTTTAGAACATTGGTTAGTAGCTCTACATTGATTGGTGTAAAAAAAACCATTTTCAAAACTGGTCTAACACCAACTTCTTAGTTCCGATCTAGTGCCAATGGCAGAGTAGTTCGAGTATCTACAACTGTTGCCCAAACTTGAAGTTCAAAGACAATTGAGTCATCTCATTCATCTATTATGTGGTTTTATTCATAGGTTTAAAATGGTTTTTTTTCTTTTTTCTTTTTAAATTAACACATTTGAGGTATATATAATAGGGTAATGAACTGTCTTTGAGAAAAAAAAAATCTTATATCAATTAATTTATTTGAAAAAATAATATATTTTTTAATTATATTAATACATTGCATTTATGTGGTCTTGACATGTTCAATTAGGTATACCTTAAAAGACACCATATAAAACAGAAAAATTAAAATTGATCTTTTTTTTTATAGTTGTTGCATTTATGTTTTTGGTTATAATACATATCATTTGTGTAGGGAAAATTACTTAAAACATCCATTTTTTGTTTTTTGACAAATTAAGTATATTTTTTTAATTGATTTAGTAGATAAAATCTTTCATCTATTTATTTTCCAATTGTACCCTTATAGAACTTTCATGCCTTCACTCTCAACAGTTTTAGCGCTAGTGGCTCACTCGAGCACTAGAAATTTTATTTTAATATTCTTCAAATTATTGTTAGAAATTAAATATTAAAAATGATTTAAGTTAAGAAATTAATTAACTAATTATATTTTTATTAAAAAAAATAAAGGAATAAAATATAAGGTATTTGAAAAATAATAATAAATGTATATAACAGCTATTTTAACTCTACAAAAATAAGACTGTAATGGAAAAATTAAATTTTTTTTACACTAGCCATGCTTTAGAGAGATTTTTTCTAACTACTAGAATGAAAAAAGTGGATAAAAATTATGTCAATTAAGAAGAAGTCAAAATTAGAATATTAGTATGACCTTTAAAAAATTGTTTTCTAAATAATTATTTCTATTTACAAGTATTGTCCTCTGTAAAAACTTAATACAGTATGGGGGCGTTTGGATCATATAATGTTCTATTATAGGGGATGTTATATTAATAGAAAGATAAATCACCATGAAAATTATTGAGAATGTTTAGAAAATATGTTTGGTTGTTTCGAATAAGTGAATAATATTTTTGATTAAAAGGATAAGTGGGTGGGTATGTTATATAGATTACTAAATTGTCTTCCTTTTTAAATATTAATATAATATTATTATTTTTAATCATTTCTTTTAACTCCCTACATTTGAACTTTAATTTGTAGCAAAATCACCTCACCCACCCCAAACACTGTCGGCAACCAGCCACCACCAGCGGCCGCCGCTGACAGTCGATGGAATGGCGCACGACTATGGTCAATCGTGCGTCGACAAACTCATTTTCGACCATGGATCACAAATCCATGACCGTTTCACGGCCAAATCTATGGTCATTTTACAGCCAAAGATGTGGCCGTGAAACGACCATAGAAACGGCTAGATCTGGCTGTTTCCAAGCCTTACCAGTGCAAAATCGGCCAGATCCCGCTGGTCATGCACCGTTACAATGACTGATGCTTGCAATCGGTAGTGGTGAGTAACGGATGATGGTGGTCTTGGGTGGTTGGGGGTATTTTGTTAACTTTTAAATTTTTTATCTCTTAGGTGTTTTAGCTAATTTCTCAAATGTAAAGGGCTGTGTAATTATTATTTGGTAGACATTTTAGGGTAATTATATCTAAAATGGTATTTAATTAAGGTCAAAATAAGTATAAAATCATATTATTCGATAATGTTTTAATCTCATGGGTGAGAGAATGTATCAGATTACCCTCCACATTTCCAACAATAAATACTATTTACAATAGAAGATTCTCATAATATTTTATTACTTGCAAACTAAACACTGAAATCTTACAAAATAAACTAGGATTAGCTCCATTATCTTATTTTTACTTCTTTGATAATTTTAAAGAAGCGGCTCCGTTTGGTTGCCAATTGGGAATACTACTTTTAGTATTCCCAAAAAAGTTAAACAGTAAAATACCCAAAAACTCACAATATTATTCAACTTTATTCAACATTTTTTAAACCCCCTAAATTTGTTAATTCAATTAAATACCCCTAAATATTTTTAATGTTTTTGTTACAGCAACTCCGGCCACCCTCCGGCGGTAGTGGCCGGCTGTCCGTATTTGACATTGGGTTGGGGGTGTTTTTGTTAACTTTTAAGATTTTATTATAGGGGGTGTTTTGTAAAGAAACAAATATAGGGGGTATTTTATAATTTATAAATCCTACATCGTAATACCCGCCCAATTCAACTTTTTTTTTACTTTTTTCAAAAAACTTTTCCCAAAAACACCCAATTGTGAACCAAACGGCTCATTATCGAGCTTCATTTACTATTTTTGTAAGGAGTTTCAGGGTATTTTTGTCTATACATAAAGGATTACAGTGTATTATTAAGTGACAAAAACGACGCCGTTCTTCTCCTTCGTCAAAACCAAATCCCTCGACTACCATTCCCTTCATTCTCTTCCCATGGCCTTGAACAGCATGCTCCGGCACCGCCTCTTCACTCGCTTTGGCTCAAGCCACGCCGGTCCGAGCCGATGGACAAGCCCGGGGCACCAAGAGAAGCCCAACGGCTACCTATTCAACCGGACTCCACCACCACCGGGTCAGTCTCGTAAATGGGAAGACTGGGAGCTTCCCTGCTACATAACCAGCTTTTTGACGGTCGTGATTTTGGGCGTTGGTCTTAATGCCAAACCCGATCTCACCATCGAGACCTGGGCGCACCAGAAAGCCCTTGAACGCCTCGAGATGGAGAAATCTGAGTGATTGATTGAGTGAGTGTTTGGATTTGCGATCTCATGTCTTTTAATTTTTGTTGATAAGTCTGATGTTTTGTTTAGTTGAATAAAGGCTTTTTATGAACCTTGGTAACTGGTTAAATAGCAACAACTTTATTACTTTTCTGCCTCTAGATTTACTGTTACAGTGTTAGCATGCGGAATTGCATGTTTTTTAGAAATTTCTTGTTTTTGATTGAATGTGTTCTCTCCTATAATTATCGAATTGTGCTAATTTCAGTGAATCAAAGTGCATTGATTTTTAAGGTTTTTTGATGTTATAAACATTAGTATTGAAATTGCAGAGACTATCATATTTAGACTTTCTTCGGTTTTCAAATTTTTTTGGTACTATTTTGATTTTGGTTTAGATTTTCCAAAGCAGCTGTTTAAGGACTGACAGTGAGCCACTGGAATAAGCAATATATTTTGTTTAGCTGATGCTCGGTTGCAGTTTGTGGAAATAAAAGAAGACAGCGTTTCGTTTAATCAAATTTTATGAATTGGTAGTTCTGCATAAACACCTTGTTTAATGGTTGGCTCTATCATATGCTGAAAGTTAACTGTATATTTAATTTCAGACTTTTTATTCCTTGAGGGATGTGGGTGCTCAGTGGTGAGAAAAAAAGGGTTTCCAGGACAATGTGTTGAAGAATTAAAATTTAGACTTCCAAGCCCCCGTCCCCCAAAGGAAAAGAGAAAAGATCTAGTTGAGAAAAAATTTATCTAGAAACTGACGTAATTCCCTTTAGTCACTGTGACTCAGCATGACTTATTTTCTCTCTTTTTGATATCCAGCTATACTATGACCTTCCCAGTGTGTTCAACGTGCTAAACTGGGGGCTAGTTCAACTCTGCATCATAGATAGTGGGCTGTTTTTTCCTGTGTAATTCTGTTAAGCTTTTCGACATTAATTGCAATTTTCAAAAATAGTTTACTTCACTCCCCACTAGCTTCTTGGACTTGTTTCTTGAAATGGTTCACACTCTCCCCTAGCTTCTAGGACTTGTTTCTTGAGAAGGTTCACACTTTTTTTTGATAAAACATTTTAATGTAATGTGTGATACATGGCTTTAAATTTCCACAATTATATATAGGTGCATACATGCACCTGCTCTCTAGTGTCTGGTCCTCTTCCTTTATTTTCTTGGGGGAGGGATGGCTACCACTTTCTTGTTTGTCAGCCATGTAGGTTAAGTATCATTGTTGTTATTAATGTGTCTGTGTGTAATTTCATCTTTTTCCAAGTTACCATTACCAAGTGCTAGCTATGTTTGGACAATCATGATTTTACCATTATCAAGTACTAGCTGCTGTGTGTGGACAATCAATATTTTTTTATAACTGCATGGAAAGGCTCTGTGCTTCATACATGATACAACTGAATTGTGAATTCTATTTTTTAAATATCTATTTTCTGCCCAAACCAACCCCCTAAGTTTTCTGCTAAATCAAATTAACTATTCTGCAATTAGTTGCAAAACCATCAGTTGCTTTGTTGTTCTATAAATTACCTAGGTACCTGTACAGATAGTTGTCGGTCGTAATACTTGCACATAACTGCTATTGGTTGGTGTCATTTTTTTTTCCTGTTAATGAAAAAGAATTATATTGATTGTGATAAATGTCCTGCTGCTAGTAGTAATTGTGTGCAAACTCATTAAAACCTGGTTTTTTCACCCATGAATCATGATCTCCGGTTACTCATCTTTTTCACCAACCGGGTTGTTGTCTAGTAGTAATAAGGTCTTATGCCTTGATTTTTATCTCTCAAGAAAGCAGATGGATCTCACAGGTTTTCTTTGAAACATTTTTATACAGTTAAGTTCTCAAAATTTACCATTGAGTTTGATCTAATTTTCTGCCTTTCAACTCTAAATAGTTAGTAGCCTGGATGCAAGGATTATGAATGTACAATTCAGAAATGCTTGAGTTAGAATTACTTCTTCCATTGTTCCATCTGTCCTTTGATAATGGCAGGGGAAGTCAATTCTATGCTACTGTTTTGTCAAGTGGAAGTCGTTCCATGGTTGAGAAACTCTTATGTTTTGGGGGGTTTATCTTTTGATAAAAATATATCGACTTTCTCTGTAGGATAGATTTCTTTTTCTCTTGGAGGCTATAGTATGATTTGGTTATTTACGGCATTCATCTTGAGGGAAGTGAGGAATTAGAATGTGGGCTTTACCACTTTGTAGTGATTAAATTTCTAATTTTACATTTCCAGCACGTGCATGCTCCTCAACTAAAATTAAGCCTAACCTTTTATAAAATTTATAAACATCCATCTATTTTAGTATAATGGGCTTGTATTGACTCGTGTCTTTATTAACTTCAACTGTATTGGCAAAATGCTCGCATTCATTTGAGAAGAAATATGAATCAGGATACAACAGATTACAATGGACATTTCGTGTTGAACATATTTTAGACCCAAATGTGCAATTATGGAGTTCTGCTGTTAAATTCCGTATGGGAATAAACATTCAACTCGTATTGTCAGCCACCACAGTCGGAAAGTGGTTGGAAGGCATTGGAATGGTGCAAAATCGGTTGAATCTGGTCAGTCATGTGTCGATTTGACCGTTGATGATTGCTAGAAATATGGTTGTCGTTTGGTTGTCATCAATGGTCAGATCCATGGTAGATCTGATTGGAAACGGACAGATTGGCATACGATCAACCAGATCCTATCGATCGTGCATTGTTCCAGTGTCGACGGTTGGCAGTGGTTGCTGGTGAGCAACTGTTGCTTGGGTGGGTGGGTGGGGGTGTTTTTGTTTATTTATAATTTTTTATTGAAAAATGTAATTGTTAAATGTTTTGAGTTAAATAAAATATAATTGGATTTGGAATTGAATAGTCAATATTAAAACAAATACGTTTTTCACTTTTTAGGACATGATAGTAGAATAGAATAAAGTTTAAAAAGTTAAACAAACAAAGGAGAAATCTATTTTTAAAATATAGGGATATTATCAATTAAGGTACAAAGTTTTGAGAATTTTTCAATGAGAGGACAAAAGTTACAAAGTGTTCAATCAAGGGAAATCTAACTGTTATTTAATGGGTGAGCATGGGTAGCGGGTAGAACCGGAACCTAGGGGTAGAATCAGAACCTATTTGGAACCGGCATTGTGAGGGTAGGTTCTGATTTCAATTTTTTGGAACCGACACTGTGCGGTTTCGGTTTCAGTTCTTATGTGTGGAGGAACTGGAACCGAAACCTGCAAAGAGAACCTAAAAAGGGTACCCTGTTTGGAACCTGTTTTTGAACCTGGACTGCAATGAAATATTTGTGAAATGTGAATAATGGAGGGTTTCTATTATTTTACATATAAAAAAATTTTAAATAAAAAAACTTAAATTTATAAAATAACCTAATTAAATAAATATACTAATACAATTATACTTATTACATATAAATTACGCCATATTAAAAACTTTAATATATTAATATTAAAGTTTTCATTAATTAAGTAAATAATTGGAATTATGATCCAATTAAAAGTGTTTTAAATTTTTAATGTTATTAAAAGAACTATTTTTTAATAAAATAGTATATTTGATTGAATAATAATAAATTTAATTATTTACTTCAATTATCAAGTTCCAAGTATATCTATAATAAATTAGCAATTAATTAATTATATATGATTGATTGATAAACATTAATAAATTTAATTATTAGTTAAATATCATACTTAATCAATTATAAGTCTATAACATTACATTATAGCTAAATGATTACTTAATTAATTATAATTTTATAACATTACTTAATTGATTTATAGTATAATTAATTATAGCATTACATTAATTGATTTATAGTATAATTAATTATAGCATTACATTAATTGATTACTACTTAATTAATTGACTTATAAGTTATAATATTCAGTATATTACTTAATTAAATAATTAGAAATTTATTTAATTATAACATTACATTATAGATTTATAGTATAATTACTTAATCAATTATAATATTTCATTATAAACATTAGTACAAACTTAATTAAATGATTAAAAATTTAATTAATTATAATATTACATTAAAGATTTATAGTATGATTACTTAATTCACTATAACATTACATTATAGTATAATTACATAATTAATTATAACATTACTACATTAGTACATTACATAATTAAACAGTTACTTAATTGATTATGATATTATATTATAAATATTAGTAATTACTAATTTACTATATAAACATTATCAATTTAGTATAATACTTAATTAAATTATTAGAAATTTAATTAATTACAACATTACATTATAAATTTATAGTACGATTACGTAATTAATTGTAACATTACATTATAATTAAATGATTACTTAATTAATTATAATATTCTATTATAAATAAATAAATTATAATATCATATTAAAGAATTATAGTATGATTACTTAATTCACTGTAACATTTCAATATTTTATTATAATATGATTAGTTGATTACATAATTAATTATAACATTACACAATTAGATGATTATTTAATTAATTATAACATTATATTATAAACATTAATTATAACATTACATTATAAACAAATGATTACTTAATTAAATTATTAGAAATTTAATTAATTAAATATTACATTATAGTTAAATAATTACTTAATTAAATTATAACATCATTACATTACATTATATTACGATCAATTAATTAATTATAGTATTACATAGTTAAATAATTACTTAATTAGTTATAAATTTATAACATTACATTATAAACATTAGTAATTTACTATATTATTATTTATTACATTACTTAATTAAATGATTAAAAATTTAATTAATTATAATATTACATTAAAGATCTATAATCTTATTACTTAATTCACTATAACATTACAATGATCACATAATTAATTATAACATTACATAATTAAATAATTACTTAATTGATTATGAGTTATGATATTATATTATAAACATTAGTAATTACTAATTTACTACATAAACATTAGCACAATATTTAATTAAATGATTAGAAAATTAATTAATTATAACATTACCTTATAAACATTAATTAAGCATTACATTATAGTTAAATAATTACTCAATTAAATTATAATATTATTATATTACATTATATATTATGATCACTTACTTAATTATAGCATTACATAGTTAAATGATTACATAATTACATAATTAGTTATGAATTTATAACATTACATTATAAACATTAGTAATTTACTATACTATTACATTACTTAATTAAACGATTAAAAATTTAATTAATTATAACATTACTTTATATATTTGTAATATGATTACTTAATCAATTATAACATTCCATTATAAACATTAGTATATTAATCAAATGATTTGAAATTTAATTAATTATAATATTAAATTATAGATTTATAGTATGATTACTTAATTCATTATAACATAATAACATTACATTATACTATTATAGTATGATCATATAATTAATATAACATTACATAATTAAAATATTAAATGATTACTTAATTGATTATGACATTATATTATAAACATTAGTAATTTACTAATTTACACAATACTTAATTAAATGATTAGAATTTTATTAATTATAACATTACATTATAAATTTATAGTATGATTACTTAATTAATTATAACATTCTATTATAAACAATATTACAATACTTAATTAAATGATTAACAATTTAATTAATTATAATATTACATTATAATTAAATGGTATATTACTTAATTAATTATAACATTACAATTTACATTATAGTATGATCACTTAATTAATTATAACATTACAAAATTAAATGATTACTTAATTAATTATGACATTATATTATAAACATTAAGCATAAGTAATTAATTAAATTATTATAAATTTAATTGATTATAACATTACATTATTGTTAAATAACTACTTAAATAATTATACGTATTTATAACATTACATTATAGTATGATCACTTAATTAATTATAACATTACATTATAATTTAATAATTATAATGTAATGTTTGAATGATTTTGGTGAAGTTATTTGATGTGAATTGTGATGAATAGTTGTTTGTGTTTTGGTTTTGATTGATGAATTTTATGTGAATTATGTTGAATTGATTGAATTCAAGTGTTGCCTAGAGATTACAGATTATGAGTTACATTGGACACAAATGAATGAATAATCAAAATTTATTAGGGGTGTATTTGTAAACTTTTAAAGTATTTTTGTCATTTTTTAAACTAATAGGGGGGTAATTGATTTTTTATAGGGTACCGGGGAAAGGACTGAAACCTGCATTTTAGGTTCCAGTTCCTTGAATTGAAGAACCTGCACTGTGCGGTTCTGGTTCTTTTTTTTGGGAATCTACACTGTGCGGTTTCGGTTCCGGTTCCCTCGGAAAGTGCAAGATACCCGGAACCGCTCACCCCTATTATTTATGGTTAACTTTATCGAAAAATGACAAAATATCTTAAATGTCCTAGATTTTTTTTCTTTTTTATATATTTGAAGTCAATTTAGTTCTTAAAATCTAAATTTAAATAATGTTAAAAAAATAATTTTTTAATGGAAATAAAAATTAAAAAATTAAAGAAAAATAATAAGAGCTTTTTTTTAGTTTAGTTTTTTATTTTTTATTGTTTTTTATTTTTAAATTTCGTAGTTTTTAATTTTATTTTATAAAAAAGTAATTTAATATATATATTTTTAGTTCCTTTTAATTTTTAACTTTTGATCATTTTAACTTTTTATTATTTATTTTGTGAAAAGAATAATTTAAATTTATTCAATTACATATTTACCCTTGTATAAAGTTCAATCTAACCCTAACTAACTATAATTGTATCTTAATTGAAAAAACTTGTAACTTCTGTCTTCCTATTGCAAAAAAAAGTTTGTACCCTGATTGATTTTATTCTTAAAATTTACATTAAGTTGATAAATATTATCAAATTGTTCTCCGACCATTTATTTTTATACTTAAAACTTAACGGCATGAGAATTTTTATTATTTTGAAATCCTCAAGGATTAATATCATTAACTCTTGAAACTTTATTGGTTTGATGAGCATTTGTTGTAGAGAATTGTTTTTAATTTCACTATTAAACCAATTAAAATCAATTTAAGTGAAGAAATTAAATAATAACAACATTTTTTTTCCAATAAACATGGAAATACAAATCATATAACGGTCTGACATTAGAATGCAACATTGAATGAAGTTATATTCTGTCCAATCCCGTATCCCAAATGAGAAAAGTTGCGGATCATCGACTTCCTTTCAATATATAAACCATAAAAGAAACCTTATCGTTTTAAGCCTTCAATATATAACGCACAGAATTGAGATCAAGAACAAGCTCAAGTTTCTTAAATTTGGAAAAAAGTTACAATTATTTAATTATTGAAGGTTCTATTTCCGTAGATGAAATTCTGCTAAAAAATATTGTAGATAATGATATCAGGAATGTTTGCTTTATTATTTTGAGTAGTTTTTAGAAAAAAACTGAGTTGAATTATTATTATGAGGATAAGATTTGAATTTAAAAATGTGTTTGATAAGATTATTTTTTAATTTCTTACATTTATTAATTTAGTTAAACACCCATGATAATAAAAATTTTAAAATTAATAAAAACACTCTCATCCACCCATTAAATTCCGACAGTCGGTAACCATCGTCGGAGGGTGGTCGAAAATCACTGGAATGGCGCACGACCGACTGGTTGGGGGTGTTTAGTTAAATTAACAAACCTAAGAGGTTAAAAAAATCTAAATATTTGGAGTTAAATGGAATATAATTGGATTTTGAGAATAGTGAAACAAACATGTATTTTGAATATGATAGGATAGAAATAGAGAAACAAACATAGCAGATATTGCTATATTGGTTAAGGGATGCATTCGTCTTCCTTGTTTTGGTTAAAAACTGTAGTTGAAAGCAATGCTTTAAAACCTAACCTATGGTGAAATCCATCAGAGTAGCCGAGTCCTAGGTTGACTGGTTTAACCGATTTGACCAGCAGGTCAAATTTGTATCCAAAAATTTGAAATCTAACAAATATATCCCTAAAAATTACTATAAATTCTTATAGGTTTGAAATTTTACGAAAACACCCCAAACATCACCGTCGAAGTCGACAAATAGGGTTTGTTTCCAGTGACAACAACACTCCCTATCACTACGAAAATACTTCCCTCAGCCTCCTGACCAAAATCCATCTCACCCTTTCCCCATTTGCCTCCCCAATCTTTGACAACAATAAGCTTTTTCTGACGGCATAGTTTTGTGATTTCCGATTGATTCACTCACCGAAGATCACCGTTGTCGCCACCATTACACTCATTGGTCATTCCTCTTCAAAAGCCATAATATTCCAATCTTCAATCGTTCACGGATTGATGTCCTAATTCTAGGGTTTTCAATAAATAGAAAAATTTGTAAATTGACCCAATGAAGCCCCAAGTCTTGGTTGAACCAGCCAAGCCAGGTTTTAAAACACTAGTTAAAAGTTTTAAGGCATTCACTTCAGGCGAGAGTCAACCAATAGTTTGGGTTGGCTATAATTTTCAAAAGAGAAAGTGATGGTATGTAGCAGATCTTTTGTTTCAGACTAGAAGTTATATGTCTTGGTTCTGACGTTGGATAAAGGGAAATGCAAATTAACCACATCGCTCCATAACAATTTTCATCAAGTTGCTCACTTTTCCTATTGGAATCGTCATGCATTTTGTAGCTTCTTTGTTAATTCAGACCATGGTTGTTAGTATCCTATGATATCCGATACGTATCATACGATACGATTCGATACAGGTCGCCAACAATACGTATCAAAGAGTATATCCTAAACCATTTAATACGTTGATATGTATCCTACAATACGATACGTATCCGTTCGTATCCTTGAAAATATCGATATAAATCGATACGACTTTATTAATTTGGACCAAAAGTCCAAAAAAAATTTCGGGTCGAACCCAGGTCACCCAACCCGATTCACTAAAACCTGTCCAAATTTACCTATTTTTCATGAAAGAAGTGAAAAGGAATATGTATTACCCATTTTACATGATAATAATAATAGAAGTGGAGAAATAGATATTGATATTGACTTTAAAATTTTGTGATTAATTTTGATTATATAATACCGTAATTTAAAATCAATAATACTACAAAATTCTTTAATTAATCTTGGAGATTGTATTAATTTTTAAAAATTTTTGATTATTTTATTAATTTTTTTGAAAAAAACGTATCTTACGATACGATACGCGATACACGATTCAAAAAATTAGGTTTTCGATACACGATACGATACACGATTTGATAACCATAGTTCAGACTAAATTCCCTAGTCTATCAAATATTGAATGAAGCATACAGTGAAATTGTGGATACTCCAAGATCCCTATTCCAGAACAGCAACCACCAGATGCTCCTCCGGAATGCAATAGTGATATATACAGTCTAAAACTAACTCAATTCAACTCACCATCTTAATACCGTCCTGATTTTCAGATGCAAGGAATGCTTAAATGCTTACAAAAAGTTTATAACTCAATAAGAGGAATGCCAAATTGCAAAGTTTCTGCGTTTTGACATTAGACAAACAATATTGTTTTCACTGAATGCCACAAATACAACCATAAGTTCATATTAAAAAAAAATATTTGTGTTTCACTTGCACTGAGTTGCTAATATTACTACATTTTAAGAAACCTTTTCGGGGAGTGAGTGTTAACTACCCCTAGTTCTAATACCATCAAACAAAGAACCTACGCCATAATGCAGTAGCTTCAGGATTCATATCCAATCAAATATGATGTCTATGTTCTAAAAAGAGAATTGACAAGAAAGAAAACAAAACTAGTATTATATATCTGAAATAAAAAAGACAACAATTTGAATATACATACAGAAAACTTGTATATATATTCCAAATCCAAAATAACTACTCAGCAATTCCAAATCAATAAATGTCAAACACTAATCAATCGAAATTCAACTATTCTTAGGATGTCCTCTAATCAAACAAGCTAAATCCCATATCATCGTCACTCTCCTCCTTGGGTTCTTCCTGCAATATTTCACAGCCATATAAGATATCACAAACCCACATATAGACCTACATTAAAAATTCAGGTAAAAAAATTGCCCCAACTAAAATTATTAAAGGTGTTTCAAGTTACCTTCTTCTCCTCCGGTGGAGGGGCAGCAGCAGCCCCACCAGCACCTCCAGCAGGGGCAGAAACAGCAGCTGGAGCGGCGGCACCACCACCAGCGCCGACATTCATAATAAGGTCATCAATGTTTCGCTTCTCTGCGAGCTTAGCAAACAAGCTAGGCCAGTAGGATTCAACGCTTAAATTGGATGCTTTCACCAATTGAGCAATCTTGTCCGCCTATTAAAACCGTCAAGGAAAATCCCAACACCCGAAACCTATATCCCATCCCAAAAGCTACCATTTATCTTAATTAAATTGCATAAAAACTCTAAGATAAGAAGATGAAACTAAATTAACAGGCTGATTCAACATTAATTTTTCATTCTATTTTCTCAGCAAGTAAAGAAATTATATATTAAAAGCAAATAAGAAAGCGCATATTAGGATACAGTGATGGCGATACCATCATCATGAAGGATCATACAAGCGTAACTGCAAGCAACCTCTCCAAGCGACATCTTTTTAACTTCACTATAAAAAAAATATAACAAAACTACAAAATTAAAACTTGAAAATTTTTGTCAAAACGAAAAGACTGAAGAAACAATCAATTACAAGGGTTTATTTTTTACCTGACGATCTGAAAATGTCTTCTCTTTGCTTCTGCAACTGGTTGCTTAAACTGCGCCGCTCCAGACCAGAACAACGCACAGCTAGGGTTAGGGTTTAAGTATAGTGTCAATTGGGCTGGGGCTAGATATAGCCGCCCATTCAAAACCTAGTTATTTAGGACAAATTCCATTGAGTACCCCACATCTGGTCCCTGTATTATCCGAATGTTCCAAAGACCTCCTTGCCGTTAGTTTCTCCTAACTTTTGTCTATTAAATGACTGCATTGCTCTTGAAATAAGTTCTTAAAAAAATTAAAAGAAAAATCCTAAACTTTTCAAAAACAAATGCTAAAAAACTTAAAATTACATTAAATTTATAAAAAAAATTAAGGGTCTGCTTGAAAGTTTTTTTTTCACTGGTTTTGAGGTGTTTTAAAAACCCCCATTTGCCAGATTTTTAATAGTCTAGTTTTGACTGGTTTAAAAACCCCCCACAACTAGTGTAGTGTATTTTTGAAGAGTTTATAAAACACCCCAAATCAGGGTGTTTTGGCTGGTTTAAAACTTTTATCCCAAAAAAACCTTTTTCCACTCCCTTTGCTGCACACAAATCTCTCGCTGCTGTTGACTTCTCTCTAGCACACAAATCTTTTGCTGCTGCACATGAAGTGAGTGAATGGTTTTAATTTGCTGCACACAACTCGTTTGGGTCGTCAACCAAATTAGGCATTTTGGTTTTTGATAGTTCCAAGAGAGTTGCTATTTGCAATCGCTAATTCACAAAAGAGTAAGTTTCGTTTTCTTGTCTTCTTTATTTGTTTGTGTCTATATAATTAGTTTATTGTATTAGATTCTCCTCACTTTCAGCATTTTGGGTTTGTATTATAGAGGAAGCTTTGTTGATTGTTTGTCATTTGCTTTGGTAATTCAATTTAACGAATTGTCTCTCACTCTTCTTCACTCTCTCTCTCTCTCTCTCAAGAGAATAATTACACGAGATAAGGTGATTTCCCATCTGGGTTCTTGCTTCTTTTATGGATTTGTTAATGTATTTGCATGATTGATCATTCGTCACTTTTGCTTTAAACTCTTGGATGTGATTGTCATTATCTTTTTTTATATTAATCTGAGTTAAAAGTATGTTAGTTTGGTGTAAAGATTGGATTTTGACGTCTGTTTATGAGTTTGATTCTTTATTTCACTAGCTTTTCTTTGATGCATTATGTTGGAATATGTAATCTCACTGTATGTGATTGCTTTCTTTGTAAAATGGCAATGTCAGATGTTTTTCTTGATTCAGTTTTGTTGATTCTGAGGGTTTCTTTTTTAATTTTTTATATACATGTATATTAAAGGTTCTTTTTTTCGTTTTACGAATAAACTTTGTATATTTGTACGTTTTGATTGGTTTCATTGTGCAAGGGCTTATATTGAATTGGGAATGAGCCTATCAGCCATTTGCTTTGTTGAAGCTTTGTTGATTTTTCCTGTTTCAAACTTGTTTGCAGAAGTTCGTCTTTTATTATTTTTGAAATTCAAGTTTTTTCTACTTTCAAAACTTGTTTATACCAACAGTTGTTTGTAAAACAACATTGCAAGTTGTTAAATCAGGTTGGGAACGCGAGTTTGGGAAGACATAGCAATTTAATGGAGGATCTGTATTTCTCTGTTCATTTTCTTTAAATAACTCCAGAGGATAGAATTTATATGTTTCTTCTAAGGCGAAGAGATCATATAGTTAAATTTATTAGCTAGGTTTGCATCTTTCTTTCATGTTTCATACATAATGACCATATCTTTATGATGTATTATTTTCTTTCAGCTTTGTATATATGGTTTATTTTGAGTTGGCCAGAGTTTATTTGAACACATTTAGAATAGGTTTGCTGTGTCAACCGAGTGCTGCGCAAAACAATTTATGCTCTATCTATTTTATACAAGTTTAGAATACATCACAGCTATTATTGTAAAGCCGTGAGAGAGTTTTCATTAGCCAACTTCAGCAGGAAAGCTACGAGTTAGGAAATTGATTTACATGAAGTTGAGGGACAAACTTCTTGCCTGATTTTTCCTGAGTAGATTCTGGCTTAACACAAGGAAATTCTGTATAAGTCATATAAGGTTGCATCAAATTTCATAACTGGTAGCATCATTAACAGGCCGCTTCCAACTATTATGATGCAACAATAGTAAATATCCAGATTGTTTTTCCCTTGAATTTATAATCAGTGAATACTTGTCTGTACAAACTCGGATTAATACCATAACAATAGAATATGATTTGAGAAATGTTAGCCAACTTCAGCAGGAAAGCTGTTTCATATGTGACATTATATTGCTATACTTTTTGTTCTTTTAATCTTTTAATTTGATAATAACTCTTTTGTTGTGTTCTCATTCTTATTTATTAGATGGCTTGACTATGATGACTTAAATAATGATGATTTGATCATGTACGCTATCATTTGTATATATCATATTCATATGATGTTTCTATTATTAGTTGGATGTGTTTTAGCACAACAACCCACAGCACAAACTACTTCACGTTTGAGTAGAATTAATCGTGCAATACGCTTGCAAAGTAAGCAAATTCGGGATGAAATAATGTAACGTATTGCTGGACCAAGTGGTAGACCTTTGATTCGAATGGGTCCCGTAACATTTGTAGAATTTTGTGGAATTTTAGCAACGAAAGGGGGGCTTCGTTCAACTCAACGAGCTACAGTTGAAGAACAAGTTGCTGAATTCCTTTGGATTATAGATCAAGACACTAGGCATAGTGCGTTTTCATTGCTTTTTCATCGCTCTGGTGAGAAGGTTAGTCGTCACTTTCATAAAGTGTTAGAAGCAATCATCACTTCGTTCACAGGAGTCAAAACACTGTCCAGCATTCCAATTTGATAATTATAGCGTCTTCTACTCTTACTAAATCGACTAACCATGACACAGACTAATGATAATGGAAGTAAAACCCAAAACCAGGTGTTAAATAAGAAACATAAGTACAACTTTGTAAAGACAACTTTTTCACAAGACTGAGTAGCTAAAACATGCAAGTCAAATTTATAACTTCAAAGTTAATTAAGCAAAAGAGAGAGTGTTTTAACTTTATAAGCATTTATGTAAATGTATCATTTAAAAAAACTGTCAGAACAGTTGGAAAATAAACTCTCAAGCACATGTTGGGTATTTTAAAAATTGCTACTAAAAACCCCTCAAAACAGTTACGGTGATTTACCTTTAAAACCGCTACGATAGTTTACCCTCATAACCGCTACCATAAAACTCCCAAGCAGACTCTAAAGAAGAAAAAATCATAAAATAATTTCATAAAATAATCAAAATCTACAAATCATACAAATTTGTCAAATTTATAATTTTTTTTTTATTTTTTAAGTTTTCTTTTGTTTAGGTAAAGTTGTTGAATTTTTATGTTAATTTATATATATTTTTTAAATTAACATATTTTTCATAATTTTGTAGAAACTATTGTAGGGGTAATTTGGTCATTCCATAAGTCAAAATGGTAAAAGTGTTAGTTTTAACTGAAAAAAACTTACGACGAACTCGCAGTCTCTACAAAGGAAAGGAAAGAATCTAAGATCACTGTCATTTCTTCTTATTCTTCTTACCCTTGGATGTCGACGGATCCAAAGCTCTAGAGTGCTGGGATTGGAGCATGGGCCACTCTATGTCGGAGAGGAGATTCACTTCGGCATCTTCGGCGTTCNTCATAGGGGTAATTTGGTCATTCCATAAGTCAAAATGGTAAAAGTGTTAGTTTTAACTGAAAAAAACTTACGACGAACTCGCAGTCTCTACAAAGGAAAGGAAAGAATCTAAGATCACTGTCATTTCTTCTTATTCTTCTTACCCTTGGATGTCGACGGATCCGGAGGTCTAGAGTGCTAGGATTGGAGCATGGGCCACTCTATGTCGGAGAGGAGATTCACTTCGGCATCTTCGGCGTTCTAGTTGTAGTGGGCAACAGACACCATGGTTACCCTTTCCGACCATCCATAAATAAATTGTCGCTCGGCTGGAATGATGTTTGGGGAGTTGAAAGGCAAAGGATCACGAGCTTCAACAATCGGAGCACCATTTGGAAGGACTTCCTCCAAGTTAGAAGTCAAAGAAGTTTCTAGCCGAATGATATTTGGGGAGTTAGTGCTCATAGGGTGGGGGTGGGTATGTGGGGCCTCGAGAGTAGTTGAGGGAGGAGCCTCCTCAGGTGCCTCATGGCCAAACTCAGCATTTTGGACAACGCTTTGGTTTCTATTCATACTCAGTTTCAATTGGAATTAAGTTTCAATGGTACACAGGCATAAATTGGTGCAGAATAGGCTTAGAAGCATTAATCTCCACAAAAACCCAGAGCTAAATATAACTCGGATAACACAGGGAAGAAAAGTATTTGATAACTCAGGGGTACTAAGGATTTTGTCCTTAATATTACTAAAATATATGACACAGTAGTAATAGAAGAAAATTGATAAAGCCCCATGCATACTATTTTGTTTCCCGCTAACTTTCTGCTTTCTCCACTGATATCTCACGAATCTCTTCCTCAATTGAACACAAAACTACCCAATAATAAAAAATTCCCGCAATACCCCAAACCCAAAATCACTCAGTTTTGTTCCATTTCAAGTGTTTCATCTTCTTGTGAACAGACTCCTCTTCACGATGACTGGCCTCAGCTCCTCAAAATCTCAATTGGCTCTGAAGATCTGCAATTGGGTCAAATGGTTCATGCCTTTTTACTAAAATCAGGCTCTCAAAACCACACCTTTCAGGCCAATAATCTTGTCAATCTCTATTCGAAATTCAATAAATTGGATGATGCGCAACGGGTGTTTGATGAAACGCTTGAGAGAAACACCATCACTTGGACTTCATTAATAAAAGGGTATTTAGAGAATGGGGATTACGAGTCTGTGTTTCGAATTGCACTCGATATGTGTCGTTTGGACGAGAAGTTCAACGAGCGTACTTGTTCTGTTGTTTTACAGGCTTGTAGCTCGCGAGAGGATCGGATTCTCGGTGAGCAAATTCATGGTTTTGTCATAAAAAATGGGTTTGAGAAGAATGTTTTTGTTGCAACTTCTTTGATTTCCATGTATTCAAGAAGTGCATTCTTTAATGATGCAGAGAAAATTTTCCATAGCT